CCAGACTAGCGCGCTGAGCGGACAAACAGCTGATCAGCTGTTTGTCGGCTCAGCGCAGCAGCCATGTAAATTTAAATGAAGCTGCGATCATTTAAATCGCGGCTTCGTTTGACTTTGCCTATGTGTCTTATCTACATGCCTCTGCCGACAGAGGCATGTAGTCTAGACACAGCCTAACATAAAGAAGTGTTTATTTCACAGTGAGTTCTTTCCATGGGCATTCAATCAGTGCTAGTGAGATAGAAACTGCCTCACTGCTTCCACCACTGGGCTCTCCCTACACTGCCCCATAACAGTAAAATGGCCTCCTCTGGCAGAGGGTTCATTACCAACCGCGGACCTGATTCTGTTGTGCTCCACAGTCGGTGGCAAAGCTCCTATTTAACAGAATGACAGCAGAAGTCAGCCATTTCCGTCAACGGCTGATTACAGTTTAATCTGTGAGAAGCATTTACCTCATGAAACTTAGAATGTGGGCTGAGGAAAATGAGTGGAATGCTTAGGAACAGAAACTTCTAGGTTCCATCCCCATGTGCGACCCAACCAGGAGCTGAGGTTATGGAAAAACTGTTGTGATTGCTAGTAATTGCTGACATTTAATAGTGATGCCTGTATGTAGTGCACCATAACAATTGTAATTTCAGGTACCCTTCAAAGAGGCAGGACCTGAGTGTACTCACCCTGGAGAGAATGGTCTGCTGGGAATTCACACAGCTCCTCTTCCTCATGTTTTCTCTTGCCTCCTAGCTGCTCATATACATCATCCTCACTGAGAAAAGCAGTGGGGCTTGCATCCAGGGTGGTGGGGCTCCTGCGGTGAACTGGCTGCATTGTGCTGGCCTTGACCACAAGTGCAGAAGGGGAGGCAGAGCCGAGCGGCTTTGCTGAAGGTAAAGTATTGTCTGATTTCCCCATGCTGCTGGAATCTGTGAAGGGCATAGTACATGAGTGCTTTGTATCAGGGACCAGCATTCTCTGCTGCTGTCTGAATGAAAGCAAGAAACATGGGCACCCAGTTCAGACCAGCATGCAGGGACATGGAGAGAAGTGGGAAGTGGGAACTAGTCAAGTTAGACATTGATGGGGGTGGGCTTGTCCCAGTTAAACTGCGGAGCAAGACTTGAATGACCACTGGGCTCTCCATATACCACCCCATTACAGCTCTTCTGAAAACCTGCTTCCAATGGGGATGCTGCACACCTGAACACCAAGCCCCAAACTCTTTAGAAACTCCAAGCACTTTGTGCAAGCACCTTCCTCATTGCCAAGGATTGGACGTAGCCTACCTGCACAGCCTGTCAACATCATACCTTGTCTGTCCAGAAAGGGTACTGTAGCACCATGTATGTTTTGTCATTGACCTCTCTGCTTCTCATCCACACACCTCTGGCAGCCATGAACTGAGCATTAGTCCAGAACTTACATTCCTCGTGTACTTCTTATAGCCCAGGGTGGGGAACTTCAGGCCCAGAGGCCAGATGTGGCCCCTGGCTTGTCTGGATCTGGCCCCTAAGGATTAGGGCTCCCCCTCAGCATTGGGGAGCCCGTGCTGGTGCTCAAGCTCCCTCCCCGTGTCCCCCCAGGACAAGAACACACAAAATCCAATAGTCTTTTTCCTTCTCGGTCAGTGAGGACTTTTTTTTTTTTTGCCCCCGACTGACTTGTTCATGGGTCAGTGGCTCCTGATCCAGAAAAGGTTCCCCACCCCTGCTATAGCCCATCACTCTGGTTTCTGGATTTTGTCCCATTATCAAGCTGCACCACAAAGAGGACCCCTGACTGTTCTTCCTTTCTTGTCTCAGCATCTGAGCTGACAGCAAAATGAAGTTGTGCTGAATTTTAATCTCATCTAGGTACCGGTAGGTAAGGCAGTTCCCATAGTAATATGCTTTTTGCCTGGCTATTTGCATGGAAAGAAAATTTGGCTTTTAATATGTATTTCATTTCTGGCTTAATATCTGGCCTTAACAAAGCACCAAACACTTTAAGCTTTGTGGAGTTTCATTTCTGAATAAGTTTTACTCCATTCTATTTATAATCACCCACATAGTGTGGATAATTACATCACTTGGAGACAAAGGGCCAATGCACAATGACTTCAATGGGAGTCACACAAAAGTATCGGAGGGCAGAGGCTGATCCACAGAAAATATAGTCAGAAAAAGCTTTCAAAATGACACAAAGCCTCTTCGCAAGAAAGGACAATTGTTCAAATGTTATCTTCCAAATTATCACAAGTTTCTGGAGAGACTTCTACACACAATCGAATACAGCCCAGGCATGTTGCCCTTTAAACCCTGGTGCAAGGTCCATATCTTCTCTCAAAATTTGTAAGGAGGGAAGGGGGAATACTGTGTGGGTTGGTTTTTTTACTTTGTTCCTTTGTGGGCTTTGCAGAAGTCTGAGGTTCTTGACATTAGTTATTAAAATTAGTTGTGTTTAAAGAGACTAATTAAGAAGAGCTCTGTGCTGCTTGAAAGCTTGTCTCTCTCACCAACTGAAGTTGATCCAGTAAAGGATATTACATCACTTACTCTGTCTTTCTATTGTTTAAAAAGTCACTATGGGGTTGCATGCACTGCTTTTTACACTGGCCACCTCCCA